CTTTGGGCTCCAAACATTTCGTTTCAAGGACATTCATTTGTTCAATGCGCGCTTTTACACCAAAGAGGCCTTTATTGGCCCAGAGGTCTGCCCAAAGAAGGAGAGGCTCCATGACAAATCGCAGATCTTTGCTGGCAGCTGCATTGTGGCCCTCCTCTTCATTAAGGATATGTTTGAAGATGTGGGAGATCTTATCACGGTGGAGTCTGGGAGTAACGGAGCCAATGTAAGGTGCCATTTGCTTTGCAAACCTCGCTTCCTGATGTGATCAAGGTCGTTCCGAAGATACGGCTCAAGTGTTTCATTCCATTGGGCCCTCAGCTCATTTCTTGGTTCAATCTGGGAATATCTGGGATTACAAGTGCTTCATTTCATTGAGCACTCAGGTCATTTCTCTGGGGCTGGGATTACATCATGTTCTCCTCAATTCGATTGTCGGGGCCAAAGTAGTGGGGTCGATTCTTGCTCTTTGCCCACAGCCTCGACGTGACAAGTTTCAACTTGGGATTGCTTTGCGCTTAGTTTGATTCTACACTTCAGTTCTAAATGGGTCTGGCCTGGGATTGTTAATCTCACTACGTTGGCCAGGACGGTGACTCTTGGTTCAATCTGGGAATATCTGGGATTACAAGTGCTTCATTTCATTGGGCCTTCAGGTCATTTCTCATGAGCTGGGATTACATCATGCTCTTCTCAATCCGATTGTCGGGGCCAAAGTAGTGGGGTCGGTTCTTGCTCTTTTCCCACAGCCTCGACGTGACAAGTTTCAACTTGGGGTTGCTTTGCGCTTAGTTTGCTTCTTTACTTCAGTTCAAAATGGGTTTGGCCTGGGATTGTTAATCTCACTACGTTGGCCAGGACGATGACTGCCGTCCGATCCCTGATAAAGTGTACCTCACACCCCTGTCTCCCCATCTCCTGGATCTCCATCTGTCGATTGTCTTGGTGTCCTGGTGCTTTTCTGTAGTCATTTTGGTTCAATCCGCCTTACCTCGTTTTGCTTCAACCTCTTCTCAAGTTATCTGGGAACACACTCTCATGCTTGCCCCTCAGAGGGTCGTCAGGCCATGGAATTCAAAATCTCTCCAGTGTTGTGTCTTCGAGGCATGGGCATCCGTCTGCTCACGTGCACTGGCAATTGAAAGTTCCGAGATCGTTCCTGTAAATTTGGGTTCATACAATCCACAGAAATGCGTCACACTCCACATGTATGAGAAGGGGCGTGAATTCGATATACCTCTCAGGCAGCTATGGAATCTCTTTGAGGAATTCTTCTCAAGTGAGGCATGCAAGAACCTTATTGGGATCGTGGGAATCGCAGTGCGCTCTATGTCTTTTGTACAGATCAAGACGATGTCATACAAAGGCGCAGTGTTCTACGACAATCGCTGGTCGGACCCTGGGAATTTCATTTACACAGTTTGGTGGAATATATGGGGTCAAATGGCCAGGTATCTTCAAAAACGACAGCCTACCAGGGCCTCGTCTAAATCCATGGAGGAGCTTCGCTTAATCGCTGGTCGGGTCACCGATGCACAGAGGATGGTCCGCGATCGGTGGAAAAGGGAACCCGACACTTCTCGATGGCTTGAGCTTATTGGAGATCTGATGGAGCTTGGGCTGGGAGCGGGGTATGTTGACCCAGATCGGTTCTGGAACGTAATTCAGGGGATCTCTCCCATCATCTGCTCCATTCGTTCAATTTTGACGTTTGTCGATCAACATGGGTCCTTTGCTAGGATTGGGAAAGACCGTCGCTTTTTTCGTGGCCCATGTGCGCCCTATACTCGGAAGTTCGCCGTGGCAATGTTCCACGGAATGCAAGTGCACAAATTCAATGTTACAGAATCTTCAGAGGTCTGGGTCTCTTACCTAATTGCGGCCTCAGAGAACAGGCTTCAATACTAGTGGAGCCGGGGCATCTGACGCCTCACGGAATTTGCCTTTGGGTTCTGAATCGAGACCCCATTGGGATCTCCCCCTTCCTCTGCCTACCACCTAGTGGATTGGCTGACACCAGGAGATGTCACTTGTGCGATTCTATCTGGGACCCGCTCGGTCCCTGCGATCTTAGGGCACCGTGGCTTCGCAACAATCCTTTCCTCCCCGCAGGAAGCCTCTGAGTCCTTGGGCCTCGGCGTCTGTTCACCTCCCTTAGGCTTTGGAGGGATGGGCCCCTTCTCTCCACTTGACCCCTGTCGGCTCCTGCAGTCTCGGGCTCAAGCTTTCGGTATGTTACATCACACGGTTTCGGATCCTTACGTTATCTTTCAGGGGAATCTTTGCAGGTCTAACCGCAAAGTCTGCTTCCTATCTAAACGGGATCTTGAGGCACTTTCATACTGCTCCCCGCTACTATTCCGAAGGGTGGTCAAGTTGCCGGCTCGGCTTCTTATACCGACGGGCCTTGGTGGTCCTCATTTCACATATGACTGGTGCAAAATCCCATACTTCAAAGCTTGCCGGGACAGCGGCTATCATGGTCTGTATGTCAACGTTCGGGGTCCCGATGAGAGGGTTCGTAGAGTTCCTTGGACAGAATTTGTTGCGGGTCAGTAGCCGTTTTGCCTCAAATCCTTTCTGGAGCTCCTGTCTGGTACGGCTGGGAAACTTTCAACTCCAGTGGATGGCTAAACGCTGCCTTCCAGTCATGCTTGCTGCCAAGAAGCGTCTCAAGTGGTCCCATGGCTCGGGCGGAATGTGGAACTACTGCGAAGTAGACGAAGTCTACACGAAAGTGTGGAAAACGGAGTACTTTGACACGTGGATCGATCCCGATTCGGGCTGGCCTCACCCGGTTGTGTGGTACTTGTCCGATTACTGGTGGGATGGAGATTTCTTCGTGGAGAAGTGGCGGTGGAGGTATGGCTGAAGAGCACTCCTGGGACTTCCTTAGACTGGAATCTTCTGGTGTCCGTGGTGCGTGGGCCTGCGGCTTCTTGGAGGGCTCTCAGTCTTTCTCAGTCTTTCTTGCATGTATTTCTTATGTCCTGGGGATAGGGTCCTCAGACATTTCAGTTCAAACGTCGGCGGCTCGCCTACGATGGTGGTTTGCAAATACAAAAGGTTATAAACAATTCCAGCCACCTTGCGTTCTCCATATTAGTTTGAATTCATCCATATTACATATTCCTCGACAGGTCTGGCGTGGGTTCTCATGGTTGGGATCTCATTCAGCTTTGACCGTTCATCTTGCGTGCCTCCGTATCTTCTGGTTTCATTGCGTGCTTGGGTCGTTCAGTTTATCATTCAGATTCTCTTTTAGTCATATATATCAGCCTTGATCACTACTCATGTTAAATGGGTTTCATGGGACTTAATGAAAGTTTTCTTCACCTCTTACTTTAGACCTTGGGACCATGTGCTTTCAAAGTTGGGACCCAATTGTCACTCAAGATCTTGTTAGTCAAATTTGGGCATCCCTTTTCTTCTGTTTCTCTATCTTCATTCAACACAAGAGGAACCTAGTGGTGGGATTTATTTGGGATCTTGGACAGTCTTTCATTTATGTTTTCTTTCAGTATCCTGGGTTTCAATCCTGGGTTGGGCTTTACCTATTCTCCGCTTCGATTCTTTCCTGCTTCTTCGCCTTCTTTCTCTCTCTACCTTACGCATTTGGCGTATTGGTGGCTTCTCAGGTTTGTGTTATGGGAGGACCTACCTTTCAAGGCGCTTCATCATCATCATCATCATCATCACCATCACCATCGCACGATCACTGACTATCATCGGCATCGAACGATCATCATCATCATCATCATCATCATCACTACTCGCTGACTCACCACTTCGCCCCCATCATCATCACCACCATTTACCATCAGAATCGCACGACCACTCACCATCAGCATTCATCATCATCACCATCGTCATCATCACGTCGTCATCATCACCACCATCATCATCATCATCATCATCATCAATCATATATCATCATCAAACACCGTCGTCATCATCCCATCACCATCATCCACCAAGTGGGAGCCTCGTCTGTGAGTGAATTGTAAGGAAGTCTCAGGCGGGAACCCCCTCCCTATGGGGCCCGCAGATCATGTTACTAATCCGAGCGGGTCGTCGGATTCCTGTAACTGTCGTCACTTTTGGGCCCCTCAGGTTTGAATTTGGAGGAAGTATCAAGCGGGAGCCTCGTCTGTGAGTGAATTGCGAGGAAGTCTCAGGCGGGAGCCCCCTCCCTATGGGGCCCGCAGACCATGTTATTAATCCGGGCGGGTCATCGGATTCCTGTAACTGTCATCACTTTTGGGCTCCTCAGGTCTGAACTTGGAGGAAGTATCAGGCGGGGGCCTCGTGTGTCAGTGAATTTCGAGCAAGTCTCAGGCGGGAGCCCCCTCCCTATGGGGCCCGCAGATTATGTTATTAATCCGAGCGGGTCATCGGATTCCTGTAACTGTCGTCACTTTTGGGATCCTCAGGTCTGAATTTGGAAGAAGTATCAAGCGGGACCTTCGTCTGTGAGTGAATCGTGAGGACGCGTCAGGCGGGAGCCCTCTCCCTATGGGTCCCGCAGATCATGTTACTAGTCCGAGCGGGTCATCGGATTCTTGTAATTGTCGTCACTCTTGGGCTCCTCAGGTCTGAATTTGGAGGAAGTATCAAGCGGGAGCCTCGTCTGTGAGTGAATTGTAAGGAAGTCTCAGGCGGGAGCCCCCGCCCTATGGGGCCCGCAGATCATGTTACTAATCCGAGCGGGTCATCGGATTCCTGTAACTGTCGTCACTTTTGGGGAAGAACAGAGCTTGCAGTGCGGTGGTAACATTCGTGGGAGACTCTCCGGTGGGGGGGCGGGTTAGCATGCCATGCGGTGCAGCAGAAGAGGCAGCGAGATCCGTGGCCATTGTGGCTCAAGGATCGCTGCAACTCTCTGCTGCCACTCTCATCGCCCAGGCCCCTCCTGGGACCGCTCTGGACCCGCCGCTTCTCTCAGATTTCGAGTGGATCTCGTCGGCATTGCCATGTCGATCGACCCAACCAGCACCGAGGCCGCATCCATGGCGGCCATCAACGATGTCGCGACGTGGGCCGGACTCGTGGGAGAAGGTCCGACATCGGCCAAGGGGAGCCTGTACACCCTCCTAGGAATCACAGGCGCGGAGCACCCCAGGGTCCTGGGGGGGATCCCCATGGCCGATTTCGACGCGATCATCGACCGCTGGGTCATCGAGAACAGAGACGAAGGCGGAACAGCCGCGCCACCCTCGCCGGCTGAGAAAAGCCAAGGTGGGTTGTTGGGGCGAGCGTGCCGCGTTCTGACCGGGATGCAGGCTTCCGCCACCCAGGTGCAGGCCATAACCATCGCTGGCGGTGGCGGCGGCGGCGGAGGAGGGGGCGGCGGTGGGGGCGGCGGCGGCGGAGGCGGCAGAGGAGATCAAGCGGGGCGAGGCCTTCGCAAGGTCAAGATGTCCATCGTCATCGACCAGTCGGACGACAGTGAGGTCGAGGTCCTGGACAGCATAAAGGTTGCGGAGGCGTACGCGCGCTACCACGCGCGCATCGGCGCCTTCCCACCAGCAGACGAGGAGCTCTCGGCCGAGCAGCTCTCGTGTCTCCATTCGTTACTCGAGAACGGGAGGCCCCCCTACACCGACATGGCGGTCTGGGGACCGTCCTACCACAGGCTCCAGAAGAAGATTCGCCTCAAGGGGTCCCGGCTGCACCCGTCAGGCACGATCACACCCGTGGAGTTGTACGGCCCTTGCGACTACGAGACGTGGGCCGAGTGCTACGCCGCGTTCAAGACAGGGGCCCTTATGTTCAACCAGCTCACCCCCGCGCGCCTGGACGCCTACGAGAAGCACATCAGGCACTACCACGAGCGCTACGGGCGCGACCAGTGGGCCATCATCTACCAGGCGGACGTCAGGGCGCGTCTGGAGCTCAGCGAGCGGCTCCGCAGGCGCGGCCAGGAAGAAGCGTCGCGGGCCGCTGCCACCGGCAAGCTCCACGACTTCGATCCGCGAGCTCCCTGGGAGTGGGTCTGGAAGCACCTCGTCGAGGAGAGCTCGTTCTGGCACCGCGAGGTGGAGGGGCCTTGCCTGCTCGTGCTGGCCAAGACGAAGTCCCTCGGCACAATGCTTGAGAACGATGCGCCCGTCGAGGGCCACCGGGGCAGCGGCGCCAGTGGACAGAGCCAGGGCGCCAACAAGAGGAAGTCCAAGGCACCGTCGCAGAGGGACAGCGCGACGCCGCCCCCGGAGAAGGTGCACCGCGTCGACGAGCAGGGTCGGTACACGCACAACCGGAAGGGCGCAAAGCTATGCGCCGACTTCCAGAGCGGCAGGTGCCAAGATGGCCCCATTACCGGCGTGTGCCCGCTCCAGCCGGGGCACCGGCACCAGTGCAACAGGTGCCTCTTGCCCAAGCACGGCGGCGAGGCCTGCAAGTCGGGCGCGAAGGGCGGGGGCCGCGGTCGGGGCCGCGGAGGAAAGGGCAAGAAGTGAAGTGACACGGCGGCCCCGCGGACAGGACCGGCGTCCGCGGCGAGCCCGACACAAGAGCCGGCACGAGCGCCCTCGAGGCGCGAGGCAGCGGGGACCAAGGATTGTGCTACACATCATCCCGCGCCTCTTCCTGGGGATGCTGGCAGGGGCGCAGGTGACTCATGCTCTAATGTGAAGCGACGACGCCTGGCAAGGCCGGTTGGGGCCGAGTCGCTGAGTGGAGCGTTGGGAGTGTGCGCCCCAACCAGCATAGATGCGCTCCCCTACGCCCAGCACGATTTCCTGCATCTCCCGAGCGGGTTGGCCAGGGGCCAGAGACACCTGCACGTCTTCAGCGGCCGGCGCGGCCGCGCTGGCAGCTTCGGCGAGGCGGTCAGGTCGATGGGCGGCGAATGCGTGGAGGTGGACGTCTGCAACGGCCCCGACTTCGATTTGCTGAATGAGGACATCTTCGGGGCTGTAGTCAGCCAGATCAGGAGCGGCGAGTACCGCGGCATATTGCTGGAGCCGCCTGCTTTCACGAAGACGGCCACCCTGAGAACAGGCAGCGGCGCCGAGAGATATGGCCGGAAGCACCTCAAGCCGAGCGAGACGAAGCAGGTCAAGGAGGGCACGCTGCTCGCCTTGCGCAGCCTGTCGGTGATGGAGGAGGCGGCGACCGTCGAGTGCCCGGCCATCCTGGTGCAGCCGCTGCTGGAGGACGACCCCGAGGCGATCAGCATGCTGAAGCTGGACGAGTTCGTCGACTTCCGCGAGCGCGAGCCGACGTGCATGCTCACGCACTCCGCGCGTCCCAGCGCAGACGGGGCCCGCGGCGACAGGATGATGTCACTGCTGACGACGCGAGTGGACTGCTCGGACCTGTCGCCGCGCAGCCTGCCGCGGGCCGGCCGCGAAGAGCACTCCCGCCAGGCGGCGGCCGCGCAAGCAGACGCAGTTGGTCTCAACAAGTACTTCGCCGTCAAGCTTTGCTTGGGGGCTGGCGTGCCTGCGCCGGCGGCAGCGCAGGCGGCGAGCCCGGCCGCGTTCGCGAGGACGGGCTACTGGGGCAACTGCTTGATCAGATTGGAGCGCGGCGCCGGGTCCAAGACAGAGCAGATGGACTCGATAACGGTGAAGCCGTGCATCGACTTCAGACACTCGCTCAAGGGGCCCAGAAAACTCACGATGGGCCACTCCAAGGAGGAGGACAACCAGAAGTACGTCGGGGGCATGAGGCATCCGAGGCGCAGCCCGGAGTTCATGAAGAACTACGGGACGGTCAGCCTGATCATCCGTAGGAAGATCGATGATTATCTCAACGACCACCCGGTGGCGGAGCGCCAGTGTCTCGAGGCCCTCGGGAGCGAGGACTTGGGTGCAGGGCCCGACGAAAACCACCAGCGGGAGATTCGGAACATCATCGGCGCTTGCGTCCACGAGGCGAACCACGAGCCCGTGCAGGGCGAGCACTGCCAGTCGAGCATCCGGGCGCGCCTCCTCACGAGGTGGGCGGAGGCAGCGAACGACAGACGCGATGCACGTCCGGGAGTGGCTCGTGGAGGGAGCGCCGGCTGGGATCGAGGTCGACATCCAGGATCCGGGTATCTTTCCGCCGGTGCACGGGCCCGACGACCGCGACGAGGGCGACCTGACGGAAACCCCAGACGCAGAGCTGAGAAACTACACCTCGGTTGATGGCGACCCGCACGCCGACCCGGAGGTGGAGCGGCTGAAGGCGTCGGGATTTGTCAAGACGTTCCACAGCAGGGAGGCCGTAGAGAAATACCTCGGCGGGCCGCCTCAGGTCAGCAAGCTGGGCATGATCACCAAGGTGACGAAGGCGGGCAAGACCAAGAGACGCCTCATTTTGGACTGCCGCGAGTCTGGCGTCAATGCCAGGGTCAAGCAGCGGCAGCGCATCGTCCTCCCTAGGCTGACGGACGTCATCGACGATGCGATGTTCCTCGCACAGAGGGCCGAGCAGCACCCGGAGATGGAGGTCGAGTGGATGATCTTGGATTTCACGGACTGGTTCTTCCACGTCCCGTTGCGGCCCTGCGAGCGGAAGTATTTCGTCGCGCACCACAAGGGCTGCTACCTCGTGTTCGTCACGATGGCCCAGGGCAGTTGCAACGCCCCCCTGGTATGCGGGCGCGTGGCCGCCATGCTGGCGAGGCTCACGCAGAGCATGTTCTCGCCGGAGGAGTGCCGCCAGCAGCTCTACGTGGGCGATCCGTGCACGACAGCGGTTGGCACCAGACCGCAGCGGGATCGCATGTTCGCCACGATCATTATCGTGTGGGCCGCGCTGGGCATAGGTCTAGCCTACAGAAAGGCCTCTCGAGGGCATTCGGTGGAGTGGATCGGCGCCCGACTCACGGTCGAGGACACGCCGACGGAGCAGCGCCCCGGCGCGCAGCGCAGGAAGCAGGTGCGCGCCACGGCCAAGCAGGAGATTTTCGATGACGTCGCGGAGCTCATCTCCAGCTTCCGGCAGCGGAATGTGATTCCGATCAAGGAGGCGCTGGCGTTCGTGGGCAAAGCCAACCACATCGCCGGGATCGTGGAGGCTTGGAGGCCCTTCCTGCAGGACGTGTGGGGCGCCATCGCCAGCAATAGGAGCGGCGCTGCCTCGAACGCCCCTGCTCGGTGCGTCTGGCGGAAGCAGATCGAGCACGTTTTGGAATGGCTATCTGCATTTTACGCTGGATCCGCCGGCGCCCTCTGCAGGGTGCACAGGGTCGACGCCTATTTCGGCCGAGGCTGCCAAGTAGTGATCACCACCGACGCGTCGCCCTGGGGATTGGGCGGCTACCTCAAGATAGGCAACGCCATCTTGGAGTACTTTTCGTCACCACTCACTGAAGAAGACGAAAAGCAGCTGGATACGCCGCGCGGGGACGCAGCAGGACAGCAAGTGTGGGAGGCACTCGCAATGCTGCAGGCCCTGCGTCTCTGGCGAGAGTTCTGGCTGTCCGAGGGCGTGACGCTCGCGGCCACATCGGACAGCGTCAGCACGCTGACAGTGATCATGAAGCTTCGCAGCCGCGCCGGAGCAGCTGGGCTCGGCCAGATCGCTAGGGAGCTAGCGCTGGACTTCGGAGACTGCGCGTACAAGCCGCGCGTGCTCGAGCACCTGCCGGGCATCGCAAACGACACTGCGGACGAGCTTAGCCGTAGGGCGCAGCCGGGCCATAGGCTTAAGGCCCTAGCAGTGCTGAGCGGAGCGACAGAACGGCATCCACTGAGAGGCAGCACGTTCTGGAAGGCCACTGCCGCCGCCGCTCGGAGCGGCATTGGGGGCGCAGAGGGGCAGCAGTAGCCGGCAGCGCAGCCCAGCATAGATCGCTCAGATGCGGGGCTGCCATATGAACTCATGTATTGTTTTCTTTAGTGCAAACTTGCCTTCGAAATAGATTCGCATCGTGATGGGGAGGGCGGTGCACGACAGCACGCGCGAGAGTCGGGACATGCCGGGCTGCATGGGGGGCGCGATTTGCCCGCCATGCGTCGCCTGGGGGGGGGGGCGGGATTTGTTGCCTTCCTCTTCCTGATCTCTTTCACCTCCGTGTTGCCCCACCTCTGCCTTCTATCCTATCCCCTATCCTTCGTACGATCCGCCAGGCAAGTGGTCAGCGCTGCGCTGACCTGTTGCACCCGCCCACCTGTTGCGATCCGAGTCCGGGGCCAGAGCATCGGCCACGCGGCCGGGGCACCAGGTCATTGGGAGGGCTCCGCGCCTCAGAAGCGAGGTCGTTCACAGCGGAAGGGGCTTCGCCCGGCCGGGCGCGGCGTTAGGAGGAGGAGGGGGAAGGAGGGAGGAGGCTTCCAGCCTGCGATCTTTCGGTGTCGGCACTGTGTGGCGGCATCCTTGTTTTGATACTACCCCGTTGGCAGCCACTCAGACGCACTCACACTCAGATCGAGGCCACAAGATGTTGGCTTTCAGCCGACACGAGCCGTGGCCATTTTATGCGGCCCCCCGGGGGCAGGCTTTTAGCCGGCGCTGCGACGGTTCAGGCTTTCAGCCGAGGACGCCGGTGCAGCTAGCTCGTGCCCACGGGCTCGGCTTTTAGCCGGCGCTCCATGGGCGGTGCAAGAGGGTAGGCTTTCAGCCGAAGATCCCCTTGCAGCCGGCAGCGCATTCCTTTGGGCTGGCTTTTAGCCGGCGGCCCCAAGGGAAGCGGCAGGAGGGGGGCTTACAGCCGAGGATCCCTCCTGCGGCCGGGCGGTGCCCCTCGGGGCAGGCTTTGAGCCGGCGACCCCGCGGGTGGCCACGAGGGAGAATGATTGCAGCCGAAGATCCTCTCGTGGCCGGCGCGGCAACCCTGGGGCAGGCTCTGCGCCGGCGACCCCGCTGGGTGCTCGCAGGGATGGGCTTTCAGCCGCTCCCCCCCTTAGGGATTGGCTTTCAGCGAAAATCGTCCTTGACAAAACCCCCCCCTAAGGATCCTTAGTGGGGGGGTTTTCCAGAAACACATTTTCAAGGCTTCTGGAAGCGTATTTCGTGTGTCACGAGTTTCGGCCACGTTCGCAGGACAACGTTTGGGCGTGCCGGCCCATCCGCTATCGTTTTGTGCCGGCCCTCGTTTTCGAGTTTCGGCCACGTTCGCAGGACAACGTTTGGGCGTGCCGGCCCATCCGCTATCGTTTTGTGCCGGCCCTCGTTTCACGAGCTTCGGCCACGTTCGCAGGACAACGTTTGGGCGTGCCGGCCCAGCGCTGTCCTGGCCACCGATCTCCCCAGACGGGATCTGGGAAGTACCCGGTTTGACAGGCGTGGGCTTTCAGCTCAAACATTGTGCTGCTGCGCAGCACCGCGCCCCTGTCGGGCGAACGCCCTCGCAGATGCAGGCCGCGCGCGCCTCCGTAGCCACCTTGGACCGGACCGGATGGCCACGCGCGCGCGCCGCGGCGATGGGTGGCAAGCGGAAGCATCCTGGCTTTCTGCCGCGCGTTGACTATCAGGACGTGATGGCGCGCAGACGCGTCGTCGCGCCAATGGCGCCACTGATCACGGCGTCGCCGGGCGAGTCTGCAAGCACTCCCGCCGCCCGCACGGAGTACACCGCTAGCGCGCCCTCGGGATCCCGCGCTTGCGCCTCCGGACCAGCGTGGGCGGAGAGAGGCGACGCGCCGTCGGCGAACTTCTCCCGGAGGGGGTCGCAACAGAAGGCGCTGGAGGCGACGCAGGACGAGCCCTCCAGGAGAGCGGCTCTCGGGGCGCTGCAGAATGACTTCGTTGCGTCCTCGGCGAGAGGGTCGGTTTCATCACTATTGAAAACTTGGGAGCTCTTCCATGGGGCCTGGTTTGGCGAAGGCGTCCCAGTCGTGCCGCTCACGCCCGAGAAGCTGCAGGCGGTCGGCGCCGTATTCAAGGCAGGGCGGTACCGGTCCTTCCAGAATTACCTCGGGCGCATCAAGGAGCGGCACGTCGAGGAGTACGGGGAGTGGGGCCCGGTCCTTGAGCTTGAAGCTAAGCGTGTCGCGCGGTCGGTGCTGCGCGGGATAGGGCCTGGCTCACAGAGGGACCCCTTGGACCTCGACCTCATCGTGGAGGCGGTGAGGGCAGGCTGCGTCCCCGACGACTTGCCCGTCGTCGCTGGGGGGCCGATCGGGCCAGCCAACTTGGCTGCCCTAGCGGTCTTCTTCCTCCTGAGGGAGATCGAGGCGTCTTTGACCCTGTGCAGGAACGTCAGCGTCGACCTCGCGAACAAGCGGGTCACTTGGTTGCTCCCAGGGTCCAAGGCAGACCCGATGGCCTTGTCCACCTCGCGCACCTGGGCCTGCGTCTGCACGGCGATGGCGCCGCAAGGGTGCCCGTGCCATTGCGCGGTGAGCCAGGCAAGGCTGGTCGAGAAACACTTCGCGGACGCGCAGGGCAAGGTGCCGGACTCGATTCCTTTCTTCCCCACGCTAGCGGGAACTGCGCTTAGCAAGGAGGCCATCACGGCGACGTACGAGGAGCTGCACCGGCGCGCCGGGGCCCCCACGCACGACGACGAGGGCAACCGGTTGCTGGGGGGGCACTCTGCGAGAATAGGTGGTGCCAGGATGCTCGCCCGGACAGGGGTCCACGTCTACCTCATCGAGCTGATGGCGAGGTGGCACTCCCCCATGCTGCTCCACTACGCGCGGGAGGCCCCACTGCACCAGATTAGCAGCGAGTTCGTCGAGCGGCGCGCCATGAACAAGGTGAACGACACCATTCGTGACATCATGGCCAAGCTGGAGAGCCTTAACGCCGCGCCGATCGAGGCGAACAGCGACCTGGTGGACCGCGTGCGCGCCTTGGAGGCCGCGCCGCGCGCGGAGAGGCATGGCAGGGCGGAGCACGTCAAGAATGACGGTTCCGGTGTCTGGCACCGTCTCGCAGTAGAGGGGCTGGGTATCCCTGCTGACCAGTGGCGCACTACGTGCGGTTGGCGTTTCGCTTTCCACAGGTATACTCTAGCCGCGGGCTGCTTGCAGCAAGGCGCAAAGCGCTGCGAGAAATGCTTCCCGCCTGCGGGCACAGAGCACGGACTGCGCGGGGAAGACTCAGACCCCGAGTAAGCCTGAGACGGATTGACATCGTCTGTCCGTCGCCTGGAGGCCAGTTGCTCTGGCGGCCTTGGAGCAACCGCAAGCGAAGGAAGAGGTGCGCCACGAGGCGGAAGGGGGGTGCTCGCTATAAGCGCGCCCCGGCGCACCATCTTCCCTATCCCAGCAGAGTGGCTCAATTGATGGCACCTTGTGTATAAAATCATCCATCTATCTCACATCCGTCTGCTCATTGGAGTCTGCGCAGTAACGGTCTGGACCGTCTGGGCGCCCTCCCAGTGCAGGGTGGGCGGGCGGCTCTTGAGTCGAGCGAAGAATGTTGGGAAGAACAGAGCTTGCAGTGTGGTGGTAACATTCGTGGGAGACTCTCCGGTGGGGGGGCGGGTTAGCATGCCATGCGGTGCGGCAGAAGAGGCAGCGAGATCCGTGGCCATTGTGGCTCAAGGATCGCTGCAACTCTCTGCTGCCACTCTCATCGCCCACCCGCCCACTCCTGGCACCATTGGGCCACGATGAGGTGCATCTCTGCATGGCATGCCCCCCCTCACCTACCGACCCACGGGCACGCCTAAATGTACACTATGCGGAAGGGGGGTGCTCGCTATAAGCGCGCCCCGGCGCACCATCTTCCCTATCCCAGCAGAGTGGCTCAATTGATGGCACCTTGTGTATAAAATCATCCATCTATCTCACATCCGTCTGCTCATTGGAGTCTGCGCAGTAACGGTCTGGACCGTCTGGGCGCCCTCCCAGTGCAGGGTGGGCGGGCGGCTCTTGAGTCGAGCGAAGAATGTTGGCTCCTCAGGTTTGAATTTGGAGGAAGTATCAAGCGGGAACCTCGTCTGTGAGTGAATTGTGAGGAAGTCTCAGGCGGGAGCCCCCTCCCTATGGGGCCCGCAGATCATTTTATTAATCCGAGCGGGTCATCGGATTATTGTAACTGTCGTCACTTTTGGGCTCCTCAGGTTTGAATTTGGAGGACGTATCAAGGAGCTTCGTCTGTAATGAATTGTGAGGAAGTCTCAAGCGGGAGCCCCCTCCTTATGGGGCCCGCATATCATGTTATTAATTCAAGCGGTTCATCGGATTCCTGTATCTGTCGTCACTTTTGGGCTCCTCGGGTCTGAATTTGGAGGAAGTATCAGGCGGGAGCCTCGTTTGTCAGTGAATTGCGAGGAAGTCTCAGGCGGGAGCCCCCTCCCTATGGGGCCCGCAGATCATGTTATTAATCCGAGCGGGTCATCGGATCGGATTCCTGTAACTGTCGTCACTTTTGGGTTCCTCAGGTCTGAATTTGGAAGAAGTATCAAGCGGGACCCTCGTCTGTGAGTGAATTGTGAGGACGCGTCAGGCGGGGGCCTTCCTATGGGTCCCGCAGCTCACGTGGTTCCTCCGGGTCATCCTCCGGCGCGCGCTTCCTCTGGGTCGTCCTCCGGCGCGTATCGGCTGGGACGCACGTCGTGCGCTTCCTCTGGGTCGTGTTCCGCACGAGGACGAGGAGGAGGAGGATTGCCAGGAAAAGGAGGAGGGATGATGCAGGACGAGACAGGAAAGCAGGAAGAGGAAGAGGCTGAGGGGAGGAAGGACGAGGAGGAAAAGGAGGAGGAGGAATGCCCGAGGAGGCCCCAGTAGGTCCCGGAAGGCCCAGAAGGCTCCAGGAGGCCCCAAGAGGCCCCAGGAGGCCCCAGGAGGGGGCAGGAGGCCTAAGGAGGAGGCAGGAGGAGGAGGAGGAGGAGGAGGAGGAGGAGGAGGAGGAGGAGGAGGGGGGGGGAGGAGGGG